GAAGAAAATGGTATAACTATCTAGTCTTCAATCCCATCAGAGACACAAGAAGGATAAAATATTACCTGAGTAAACAGGAAGTGCAGAACAAACAACTCCCAAAACTGTAGAAATGATAGAGACATCTGGTTGCCTTGACAGTCAACCAAAGTTCTTCTGCAATATTGGCACATCCATCTTTGGCCTTTAGGCCTAGAATATCTGATAGACTACTTTTGTGTGAAGCAGGAGTTTTGAAGGACTGTCTTACTTGCCTTTGCAAAGTTTGGCAGCTACTTTATTTTATGTCCTGCTTGTCCAGTTTTTACAGTATACTGTCAGCAGTTGAAGCAAGGGCAGTTTCTTGCTCAAATGACTAGCTTTGATACAGTGAAAGCAAATTTCATATGGAGGTTCTTGAGTGCCCATCACCCTTTTATGAAGTAGATTGATGCTGGGAGCAGATGTGTCTTGCTGTCATGAAAAGCATTAGGTTATTAAATATCTTAAATGCCATGTTCTGTAGGTCTCTGAAGCTTTTGAAGATTACTCGTTTATCTAAAATAAATCTGTTTAACTCTGAAAACATATCTAATGTGACTACAAGTTTGATTGTTATAGGTGACTATTAACTTGAATTTTAAAAAAATATCCTAAACAGTTTGTAATGATAGCTTTCAAGGACTAGAACTTTATATTGCATTTTTAAATGAGTTGTGTGGGTACAATACAATGCCTTAGACAAGAGTAGAAACACATAACAAAAATAACCTTAAATTTGTATCAGTATACAAGAATCCATACAATATAAAATATTTGAGATGAATAGTTGTCTTTTTGTCCTATATTTTATATCCCCACTAAATGATGGCAGATATTCTTAAGCCATCAAAAGACCGAAAACCACCCACCCCACTTTTTGGGAATGTGGGTGTTATGTTCTTTAGACTGCTTTCTACTTTCTGGGGCTGATGGCATTTCCAGGGGACCCTGAGAAAATTGAGGTAATGGTCGAGTCCTAAGAAAATTAGCTGTAAAATTTGTTGTCCAGTGTTTATGTAATGGGAAAGTGCAGGTCTTATCTGAAGCCCTGGCTGGGATGGTCTGTGAGGCTGGGCCATCTCAGGTAGCAGCTTTGAAGTTGTTCCGAATGCAGAATTCTGAGGAAACTGTAACAGAAGCACTCTGGAAGGCTGCTTCACCTGGCCACCCGTTTTCAATGGTGTCAGGTTCCCTTGCTCTGAAAACACAGAAAACTTTCAAAGGTGACATACATACCTGCACTAACATAAATATGGAATATGTGTTATATACAAGCCAACCAAAGATGATTTTGTAGTTTATCTTTGAGCAAGTAAAAGTTACCTGTCAACTTTTTAAGTTTTTTTGAACTGTATAATGAATGAACCCTCTATCCGTGCCATATGAAAGGACGGCATGTAATAATAAGTCATGAGGACTCTGTAACTAACAAGATATATCCTGTCTCATCCAGTCTCAGAGTTGTCCCCACGTCAAGGGATCAGCATAGACGTCATCTGTCTTGTAGTCTTTCTAGGTTTATCTCTGTGTCTTCAGCCAAGATTTTCAGGAGGTTTCCCCCAGTCAAATCTGGTCTCTATTAATTTTGAAGGAATTCACAGGCTTTCATTTCCTATGTGAACAAAAGCATAACTTCTTCCCCAACACAATACATTTTCTGAATTCCACTTAAGAGTTAAGGCATCCCTAAAGTCTCTAGGCTGGTTTATTCTCAGTTCCTCAGCCAACAGCGCACCATAGAGGATCCAGACTCCCTGTGCATTTCTCATCGTTTCATGGCTTGTTCTTTTTATATTACTTTACTCTTTTTTAAAGACTTATTTATTTTTAAACTACTTTTTTCCCCTGTTTCTACCTCCATTTTATTTCTTAGACACCTGTGCACATTGTGTAATTTGTTTAAAATTTTTTTCGGTCTAGACCTGTTTTACTGTGCACTTGTAGCATTCTCTGACCTCATGAGCCAAACCTTAAACTACTGAGCAGCAGCTAGATCCTCCACTGTATGATTCTGCTTCTCCTTACATCCATAAGAGCCGAGCCATAAACCTGCAGACCTGGCCTGGCCCAGAGCTGTCTGTAACTGAGAGCTACATTCAACCACCCAGCTCTAGGAAGTTGGTGCCCTCACTGTGGCAGGTGTTTTTACTTAGCTTGCCATTTTACATATTGCGGTGACTGCTCAAATGCTGTGCTGCACAGCAGCTCCTCTTAAAGGAGTCATGTTCAGTTTTGTTTTTTGTTGTTGTTGTTGTTGTTGTTTTGTTTTGTTCTTTCTTTTTCAGGCCCCAGCTTGGGCACCTGAGATCTGCCTACCTCTCCCTCCCAAGTGCTGGGATTAAAGGCATATGCCACCACTGACTGGCAAGAGACCCTAATCTTAAAAAAAGAAAATGAGAAACTGGTTGTACACTTTTTCATATTTCTTACTTTAAAACCATCTAACCTTTACAATATGTTGTACCTTTCTAAAAGTTGAAAATACAAAGACTAGGGAGTTAAGCAAAATAGTGGATGTATGTATGTGTATGTGTGTGAGAGAGAGAGACAGAGACAGACAGACAGACAGACAGAGAGAACAAATATTCACTGCTAAGTTAAACCACGCTCTCCTAGATCATTTTAGGCTCAAAACAGGGCAGGGTTGAGTGATGTTCCTCATCAACCAGAATATCCAGTGTAGGAGTGAGTGCTTGATCTCCTTGTCATACCAGCTTTAATTAAACTGTTCATACAGACTGATGATAGGACTGTGGTGCCAAGAAAGTCACACCTATTTTAGTTCATGGTGCACATTAACCCATCAGGGTGATTAGAATTGTATTGCTAAACACAGACGTCACATGTGGCTGATGACTTGATCACTTCCTTCTCTGGGAAAATAGAAGCCTAGTTTATCTCTGTTGCTATTTTCTAAATTTATTATTCTGTGTGTGCGCATGCACGTGCTTTAGTCTTTATGACTTTGTATTTCTCACAGGATAAAGTCTCAAGTCTGTGATAGGGCAAATAAAGTTTCCTTAGAACCTGTCCTAAAAGTCAGCAGAAACTTTTCAAAGAGCAGAGTTTCTAGAGCCAGGACCCTTTTAGGGATACTGGGTTTGAACCCAAGGTCTTGCTCATATTGAGTAAATGTAAATGAGCTACATTCCCTTTTCAAAATTTTATTTTGAGACTGGGACTTAATCATACTGCCCTTCAGACTTATTTCTCCTGCCTCAGCTTCCTGAGTAATTAGACTGTAGGTGTGCCCCACCACACCCAGCTCAGAGTCTAGAGTGAACTGATTTCAGTGTTGCCACAGCAGAGGATCTGGGATGTAGTAGGATTCTTCTGATTACTTGTGAAATGGTATCTTAGTTACTTTTCTGTTTCTTTGGCAAAACACCATGACCATGACAGACTGTAGAAGGAAGGGTGTATTTGGTCTGTGCTTCCAGAGGGTTAAGAGTCCATCAGCATCATGGCAGGGAAGTGTGGTGGCAGACAGTCTTGGTAGCTGAACTGGAAGCAGAGAGAGCGTGCACTAGGAATGGTGAGACTTTTAAACCTGCCCCTAATGACTTATTTCTAGTAAGGCCATACCTCCTAAGTCTCCCAAACAGCACTATCAGTTGGGGACCAAGTATTCAAACATCTGAGCCTGTGGGGGACATTTTCATTCAAACCACCACAAATGGGTATGCTCAAGCGAAATCAAAGAGAACCTTAGCCTAGGAGGTATTCCAAGATCCCATGTTGTCTCTCAATTGGCAGATTAGGAGAACTTTTTTTCTGGAGGCAGGAGGCTCTGGGTTGAGACCCTTGTACATTTGCTAGCTGTGCCTGTTTTCTTGTCTATGGAATGATGGCAATAGAGTTACTGAAAAGTAAAGGGTATGTAATAGTCCTTCTTTCAATGAAATAATTCTTTTTTTAAAGATTTATTTATTTTTTTATGTATACAACATTCCTTTCATGTATGCTTGCATGCCAGAAGAGGGCGCCAGATCTCATTATAGATGACTGTGAAAGAAAAGAAATAAAGCCAAGGGTCAATGAGATAGATCACTGGATAAGGGCACATGCCCCCAAGCCTGATCCCAAGTTTTTACCTGTACACACACACACACACACACATATACACACACACAACAATAAAATAAAGTCAGGATGAGACTGTGGCTTGTTAATGGCAGACTTGCTGAGCATGTATGAGGTATGAGACCTTGAGTTCAGTCCTCAGCATCACAGACAAAATAAAGAGGGGTTGATAACCCTAAACATAGACTAGATATGAAAATAACAAGATAACCCCTGGGTTTAAGTAAGGAAAGTGAGGTCTTGCAAAGATTGTAAACTCATCATCCATCGTCTAGTGTTCATATCCACTCCCTACTGTATTAGGCTCAGTAAAGGTTGGGAAGGTGAGGACATGGAGCATCAGGATTGTGTAAGGCCACTTGCTGTCCAGAAGATTGCTTGCTTGTTTGTTTTGTTTTGAGTTAGGGTTCCTCTGTGTAATGCTGGATACCTGGAACTCACCATGTAGAATAGGCTGGCATGAGTTGTTAAGTGTAAGGATCAAAGGCATGTGCCACCATGCCTGGCTGGGAGAATTTATTTCAATTAAATATTTTAAAATGATTCTAGTTTTACATGGCATTATGAGAAAGGATACAGAGAGATAATCTTGAACATTACTACATATATTTTAAAATCTTATTAACAATGAATCCCAGCATTCGGGAGGTGTAGGCAGGCAGATCTCTGAGTGTGAGGCTAGCCTGGTCTATAGAGGGAGTTCCAGTACAGCCAGGGCCATACAGAGAAACCCTAAAAAGGATAGTATACTGTCTATAAGTTGACCCTTTCTTGCTTCGTATTTTTCAAATTTAAGTATTGATTGGCCCATTACTATTAATCCCAGGTATAATTCTTATAGAATGCCTTGGTTGTGCTGAGAGTCTGATTTACTGAATGGTTTTCTTTGCTTTTAGAATGACAGTCAAGAACGGCAGCAGCACCATGACAGGCGGAGACTTGACAACCCTGAGCCGGTCTCTAATGGTCGACCCCAGAGTAACTCACGGCAGGTGGTGGAACAAGATGAGGAAGAAGATGAAGAGCTGACATTGAAATATGGAGCCAAGCATGTCATCATGCTTTTTGTTCCCGTGACCCTCTGCATGGTGGTAGTCGTGGCTACCATCAAATCAGTCAGCTTCTATACTCGGAAAGATGGGCAGCTGTAAGTATTAGTGTTTCATTCTCAAGGCCAGTGTTACTTCTTCCATGTCAGAGCCTGTTGTTATCCCCTTGAGACCTCTGTACTCACAGAGTATGGTAGAGCCATCTTATCTGATGGCCAGCGCCAGTGGGGATGACGGTGTTTGATTACTTGGTACTTTCAGTGACAGAAAGAATGCTGGAGAATTATTCCCAGGATGCAGTCATGGGTGGAGCTGAGTTTATGTGACACTGAACAGGGTGACCGTCATCTTTCCTGTCAGGATCATTGGGCCATCATTCTTACTCCTGGACTGCTGGAGCTTCTTTGTTGTTGTTGGTCTATTTTGAATCGAATTCTTACTTTTCAACCAGGCAGGTGGCATGGTTGGCATGGGCCTGCAATCCTAGCACTTGGGAAATGGCTCATGGGAGTTTAGAGGTTTAGAAACCCTGAATATGGAGGTTCGGCATGTGTTTGAGATACAAGCATGGTGGCTAACATATACCTGTAATCTTAGCACTATTGAGTAGGGGGTGGAGAAGGAATAATCAGGAACTCGTGGGCAATTTCTGCTCTATGCAAATTCCAGGCCAACTATTGTCCTCATCTTGGCTTGCCTGTTAAATCTTTAACTGTAACTGCCTTCATCTTCTGCTAGAACTAGATCTTTACTAGTGTTTCTCACTGTGTCTCAGGCTGGTCTGGAATTCATTGTATAGTCTAGGCTAGCCTCAAGTATTTGATCCTTCTGCTTCAGCCTACTGAGTGCTAGGATTACAAGTGTGTAGTACCATACCCAGCTTTATGACCCTGTTACAGAAACTCATTTCTCTCAGAGTAGTGCAGGGGTAGGCAGCCCAGTACTGGTCTATTGGCCTTTTATTCGTGAAGCACCTTGGCTCCTTTCTTCCACCTCTGTCCTCTGGGCTCCTCCAGGGTCCAGACTTAGAACCTCAGCCTTCATTCAGACAGCAGGAAGTTGAGAAGGAGATGTAGTCATCACTTAGCAAGGGCACTCCTTTCAAGAACTTCTTTATAACACATATTCAAAGATCTTTGGCCATCATTTAGTCTCATGACCACACCTGCTATAAGAGACAGAAGAAGAGTCATTAGGCAAAGAGCCTTGGCACCAGAAATAAAGTAAAAAAATAAAGTATGTAAGTGAAAAACAAGGAGAAGACAACTCCTATTGTAATCACTCTACAGATAAAAGACAATGGTTCAAACCTTGTTTCCTCCCTCTAATAATTGTCGTTTTGCCTAGGTAGTTTATATGGCAGATCCTGGCTATTTAACAGATTCTAATGACCCGTGGAGAAAACGTTGGGTGAGATTATTATTCCAGTACATGACATCCACTAGATGGAGCCAGTGCTTGGCTCATGTGTGAGTGCATCTCTACAGAGTCTAGCTATTTCCTTTTACCTTGAAGCAGTTCTTTTAGAGGATAGCTATTTTTCGTAGGTTAAAAATTCTTAGCTAGAGGTTTGGAGAGATGGCTCATCAATTAAGAGGTTGTACTACTCTTGTGGACATCTTGAGTTTGATTCGTAACACCCCTACCAGGGAGCCTTTAATTCCAGCTCCATGTGATTGGATGCCTCTGCCCTTCATGAACATCCACACATGTTAAAATAATAGTATATATCTGTGTATTCTTAAAAATTGTTAGTTAGCACCAGAGTAGTACAGACCTATAATCCCCACAGTTGAAAAGCAGAGGCAGGAAGATCACATATTCAAATACAGCCTGGGCTACATGGTGAATTTCAGGCTAGCTTGGAGTTATTTACTAGATTCTGTCTCAAAAAACTAACTAAACAAAAAAAAATTCTTAATTGTCTGATTAACTGTGAAAAGTATATTCTACGGCACTCAGTTACTCAAAGACCTCACAAGGGAGTATATGGTTTGAGATATCCATTAACACTTTTGTATTGGTTTTTTTTCTCTACTTCCCTCCCTCTAGAATCTATACCCCATTCACAGAAGACACTGAAACTGTAGGCCAAAGAGCCCTGCACTCGATTCTGAATGCTGCCATCATGATCAGTGTCATCGTTGTTATGACCATCCTCCTAGTGGTTCTTTATAAATACCGGTGCTACAAGGTGAGCATGACATACAGCTTGGCGTGCTTTCTGCCTTGATCTTTCCAAACTTTGTTAGTATGTAGAAAGGAGAGAGAGGGTGTGTGTGTGTGTGTGTGTGTGTGAGAGAGAGAGAGAGAGAGAGAGAGAGAGAGATTGAGATTGTGTGTGTGTGGGGGGCCTGTGCTTGCCAATGTACATGCACAGTGGAGAGGACAACTTTGTGAAATAGGTTTTCTCCATCTTTTCGTGGGTTCTAGATATCTAATACTCAAGGTTGTAAACACTTGCATTCACCTCTTGCCGCTTCACAACCTTCTCGTCTTGTTATATACTTGACTAGTAAAGAAAAACGTGCCTTATATCTGGATCTAAGTTTTAGCTGTTTTTCTTTCTTTTCATTCTGGAACATGTTTAAAGTACCAAGACATGACTGGGAAACATGTTTCCATGTAAGATCATGTAGCACAACGGTAGTGGCCCACGCCTTTAATCCAAACATGCGGGAGGCAGAGGCTGGCGGATCTCTGTGAATTCGAGGCCAATCTGGTCTACAATAGTAAGTTCCAGGACAGCCAGGGCTACACAGAGAAACTCTGTCTTGAAAAAAACAAAAAACAAAGATCATGTGGCTTCAGTATTTCGATTTATATTGTGCCTGTGGCATTCCAAAGGGATGTGCCCTAAGATTTTTGTGTATATCCTTATAGACAAATAGCACTATAGGATTTAAGTGTGCCATAAAGCCACCTTCAGATGCTATTGTTAAACTCAGCAGTGACTGGCTAGCTGACTTGAGAACTCTCAACATCATTTGTGTGATCTCTTGTCCTGGCTACAGTGAGAAGGTGCAGTAATAATGCAGGCCAGCCTCAAACCTCTCCTCCCTCCTTTTTCTCTCTCTCACTAAGTGACGGCTTCCTGAATTTCAATCATCTAGCACATACTTCAGACTCATATCACAGAGAAACTAGTCATTGCAAGTCATGAACTCTTAAGATCATTTTCAAATAATAGGAATACTAAGTGTTAACTCTCTAGATATTACAGTCTAATTTCCTCTATGTATTTTTTCTGTGTATTCTTAAATGTGACTAAAATGTATGGTCAGTGTGTGTCCTTTCTTAATTTTTTTTTGGCATAAAGGCTTAGAAAATATTTCTGTAGCTCTGTAATATAGCTTGGTAAGTATAATTTCTGTCTTCTGAGCTCTCTGATTTCGGACATTGTTTCTGTTTACTACTGTAAAGGTAATGTCTTTATGAGTAGACCTTTTCCAGAAGCTTAAAATTTTAATCATCTAGAAGGTTTATGGGGTTTTTTTGTTTGTTTGTTTGTGTTTTTTTCTGAGACAGGGTTTCTCTGTGTAGCCCTGGCTGTCCTTGAACTTCCTCTGTAGACCAGGCTGGCCTCAAACTCAGAGATCCTCCTGCCTCTGCCTCCTGAGTGCTGGGATTAAAGGTGTGCGCCACCACTGGCTTTCTACAAGTTTTTAACTCTTAGTGTGCCAAATTTGTGTTTAGACTTATTTATTTTGCTTTATGTGTATGAGTACTTTTTATGTACATACATACGTATACCACACATATACCTGGTGTCTTCCGAGGTCAGAAGAGGGTGTTGAATCCCCAAGAACTGGAGTTAGATGGTTCTGAGCCACCATGTGGGTACTGGGAGTTGAACTTTGGTCCTCTGGAAAAACAAGCGCCTTAACCTGCTGAGCCATATCTCCAGAATTATTATTGTTTTGTTTTTAAGATTTATGTTGTATTTATGTGTGTTTACATGTTTGTCCATCACATATGTGCAGGCCAGAAGACAGCCTTGGGTCTCCTGGAGTTAGAGGACCGATGAGCTGCCTGACGTGAGTGTGGAAACCAGATTCACGTCCTCAGGAAGAACACTGAGAACTCACAGCCACCGAGCTAGCACTCTAGCCCACAACATTATTTTTCAAAAAGATTTACAATTTGTATTGATCACCAATAGCAAATGGAATATCTGTATTTTAACCTTCACCGATGTAAATTCTGCCCCTTTTGATAAAATACCGTTAATTAAGCCAAATGTGGTGACACATATATTCATCAGAGGCAGGTAGATATTTGTGAGTTTGAGGCCAGCCTGTTCTATTACTAGTTAGATCTACATGGTACAACCCTATACCATGTACAAAATAAAACATGTGCACACACACACACACATTTTTATAGGGTGAAACTCAGTTGACTGCTAGTCAAAATCAAGTTATTTTTTATACCCACGACTCTAAGCTCATAATCTAACCTTGCTAGATGAACCTTTGAGCGTGTGGTGGTGTTCGCCTGATGTGTAAGCATTGTGTTCTGACATTTTGTGGAGGCCACTGAAGAGGAAAAGTGCGTGATGGCGACAGGTCGTCAAACATTCAGAAGCAGAAGCAAATGCCTAAGCCCTCCCTTCCTTGAATGTTGTGTTCTTTAGGGTTCTCTGTGCCCTTCCCACTGCGGCTGTATATGTGTCTGCCAGTCCCTTTCTTGGCTTAGTGGGCACATTCTGGAGCTCAACTGATTATAGGCTAGGCTTGTTCTTTGATTCCTTTTCAGATTTAATTAGGGGTGGAATTCTGCCTTCTCCCAAGTTTATTCTCCCCTACTCCTAGATTTCTTGCTTTTCTTTCAAAATCACCTGTGTGCTTGGATAGAGAGCTGTGGATTCAGCATTGTATTTCCTGAAGTTCCCCCCCCCCCAGTAATTTTGGAATATTACTTCATTTCTGTGAATTTTTACATTTTCATATATAGAAAAGAAACCACCATCTGTAAGCTACCTCTCCTCTCTCTAATTTTTTTTCCATGCAGTGACGACAATATAGCAAACTATGTTCACATCTGCCTTGTTTCATTTTAATATCTCACAAGCGGTGCATGTGGAGGCCCCTCTGTTCTCTCAGCTTTACAGTTGAGGTATGGAGGCAGGATCACAGTTGCCGTGAGTCAGAAGCGGGTGACTCAGTTTTGGAATTTTAGTCCAAAATTTGGCCTTGATTGACTCATAGCCGTTATATAAAAATCCTCTCAAATCTTGTCCTCAATTCCTAAAAACTGCTTTCTCTTTGTGTGCCTCATGGAAACTATGTACACATGTTAGAAAGTATTTCCCTGGTTGGGAAGTTATGTTTCCACATATGTTCTCTTCATTAAAGGCTAAAAATTATAATAAACATGTAAAACTTTCAGTGGGGTTAGAAAGATGGCTCAGTGATTAAGAGCTATTCCAGATGGCCCAGATTTAATTCCTAATACCCACATGGTGGCTCACAACTGTCCATAACTTAGTTCAGGGGATCAGATGTCCTCTTCTGGCTTCTGCAGGGACCAGGTGTACACATGGTGCATAGTCATACATTAAGGCAAAACACTAAGACACATAATATAAAAGTAAATAATAAAATCTTTTAAAAAAATTTCAGTGCCATGTGTGGTGGCATATGTCTTTAATCCCAGCACTTGGGAGGCAGAGGCAGGTGGATCTCTGTGAGTTTGAGGCTGGTTCCAGGACAGGCTCCAAAGCTACAGAGAAACCCCTTCTCGAAAACAAACAAACAAACAAATTTAGGTATTTTGTCTGTATGTGTGTGTGCATGCGTGTGTGCATGCATGCATATTATGGGCTAGTCCAATCTGCATATTTAGGCCAGGCAGTTTCATACTGAAACCCTGTCTCAAAAACAGCAAAACCAGAGGCTGGAGAGAGATGGCTCAGCAGTTAAGGACACTAGCTGCTCTTCCAGAGGACCTAAGTTCAAATCCTAGTACCTCACAACTGCCTGTAACTCTGGTTGAAGGAAATTTAACATCCTCTTCTGACCTCTACCACTACCAGACTCACAGGATGCACAGACATACATGTAGGCAAAACACCCAGAAACATAAATGAGAGTTGTGTTCACATATGCTTCCTGGGAGATAGGCCCATGACCTCATGAATGGCTTCCCAGAGGTGACTTTTCGTTTCTCTAGACTTTTCTTTTTGGTTCCTCCAACCAGACACTGAGACTCTTTCCTTGGTGTCAGGATAGAAAGATGGGAAGTCAGAGAGAAGTCGAGCAGCTCGTCTCATTCCCTGATGGTGACCAGTGAAGATTCCCCAGGGCCCCAACTGCCGCTTTTTCCCACTCAGGGCTGGTGGGTGGCTGGACTTAAATAGAACTGAAAAGCGGCGAGGGACTTCCAGAGTGCTGTTGTCTTTCTAGTGCCAGCTCTGGTGGACTCTGTGTGGGAGTGAGCGGGACCGAAGTGGCGCTACTTGGACTTGCCCAGCTAGCTGAGACACATAGCCTTCCATGTGTACCTGTATTTAGAGGAGAGACACATGGAATGTGCTTATTCTGCCATAGCTAGACCTGATCTTAACATATTTGGGTCAGTTCTGTATATCTTTTAATTATGCTAAATGAAAATTTATTCCATTTCCACTTGTTCATTTGTGTTGTTTCATTGTTAATGTTTCAGTCTTAAGAAGCATAGCCAGTTCTATAGAAGAATGTTGTTTACTTTGACTTCTTGTGTGAAGTAGAAGGAGCTTGAGCCAGGCATTCAGAAGCTTGCTGGGACCTGTTTAAAAATAATAAGCCCTGAGGAGTTCTCCTGTTAGTAGTTTGATTGTACGGTGTCTACAAGAAGCCAAACAAACAAAAACAAAACAAAGCAAAAAAATAACAACAGAAAACAACCTTACAGGGGAAGACACAGGAAAGGCAGTTGACCTTGACACATGACTTGTGGCAGATGAACTGTAGCTTTAAAGCCATGAGTTGCTAGCCTGCATAGCTCGGGTTTAGAGAAAGTACTCACAGCTGGGAACAGAGCAGAGCTCCCAACTTTCAGAGCCTTTACCAGTGGCACTAAGCTTGGAGACTTAAAGAGAATAGAAAGCTTTCTTGCCCCTCGATTGTCTCAAGTGGAGGGTGCTCTTTAATCATCAGAAAAGTCATGAGAATCATAGGGGATCAACCTAGACTACGTACAACCTCATTACTTGTGAGGGAAATAGAAAGAAAATGGAACAAATAGCCTGTCAGAAATACCTAAACAGAGAAATTAGGAGGGGGGGCATGTATGTCGATGTGTTTCCTCATTAGTGGAAACATAAATGCATGCTAAAAAAAAAAATCAGATTAACGTATTTGGCACATTGATGTGATTAATCTTTTTGTAACTATTAGCCGGTGTTTATTAATGATCAAGTAATTAGGAAAACTTAGTAGACTTTTTTTTTAAATATTTATTTATTTATTATGTATACAATATTCTGTCTGCGTGTATGCCTGCGAGCCAGAAGAGGGCGCCAGACCCCATTACAGATGGTTGTGAGCCACCATGTGGTTGCTGAGAATTGAACTCAGGACCTTTGGAAGAGCAGGCAGTGCTCTTAACCTCTGAGCCATCTCTCCAGCCCCTTAGTAGACTTTTAATTAAATTTAAGTAACTTTTTTTGGAGGGGGTGAGGGATTTAGAGACAGGGTTTCTCTGTAACTTTGGAGCTTCTCCTGGAACACCATCTGTAGACCAGGCTGACCTCGAGCTCACAGAGATTCGCCTGTCTTAGCCTCCCAAGTGCTGGGATTAAAGGCGTGAGCCACCATCACATGGCAAATTTAAGTAAATTTTAAAATTAGTTTCTGTGAAAGAACTGAAAATCCAGAAAGAAAAAGTTGTATGCTAGGGCATTCATGATAATAAAAATAATATTGGGTGGGGAGAAAGATTATTAAATATATATAAATATTTATAAAACAGATTCCATATGTAGGAAAAGTCTAGATTGTAAATTCATACATGCAAGTGGAATATTTAAAAATCATGTTTCAAAAAACATTTGGTGTGCTCTGTGAATATGTCTGTAATAAGGATGAAGTGTAGCTGGCAGTGGTGGCACACCCTATAATGCCCAGATTGAGGCAGGATTATGAGTTTCTGGCTAATCTACCCATCCCTCAAACCAGATTGTTTTTAAAAGCATAAATAGAAGCTTATACAGCTGACATTTTGTTAAAAGACTTGCATACATGCTGACACTTTCAGGTGAAAACCATGTGAGGAGAAAATGGTAGTTTTCTTTCAGTATTTTTATGTTTTCTAAATTCTATGGGTACTTGTTGCTTTTTTGTTGTTACTTTATTTTTAATTCCTACAATACTAGAAATTGAACCCATATTATGAAAGCACTTTACCATGAGTTGTTACCCAGCATACCTTGCTATGGTGTGTCAAAAAAAAAAAATTAAAGGCTTTTAGAATGTATCTAAACAGGAATTTTTAAATTGGTTTATTGGTATTTCACATGTTTTGCATGTCTGTGTAAGTATCTGCACCTGAGTGCAGCTGTCTGTGAAAGCCAGAAGTTTCAGATCTCCTAAAAAGCTGTCCAGTGTGGAGCATGGTACTGGAAACCTAGCTCAGGGTCTCAGGAAGAACACCATATGTTCTTAAACCACTGAGCCATCTTTCTAGCCCCTTTATTGTTCTTTTTTTTTTTAAAAAAAAAAGATTTATTTATTTTTTATAACATTGGGGTTTTGCCTAATGCTATATCTGTGTGAGGATGCCAGATCCCCTGGAACTGGAGTCACAGACAGTGGTAAACTGCACATGAGTGCTGGGAATTGAACCTGGGTTCTTTAGAAGAGCAGTCAGTACTCTTAACCACTGAGCCATCTCTCCAGTCCCAACATTTTTTGATCATCTTTTTTTTTCTTTCAAATTATGGGCCAGAATAAATAATAGGAATTATTGTCTCTTTTTTTTTTTCAAGTAAATGCCAAGTGATGTCTTTTGTTTCTTTTATAAAAGAACTTAAAAAAATATGTTAAGTGTTTGTGTATATATGTGTATATATATATATATATATATATGTATGTATCTTTATGACATTTCTGTTTTACACTCTGATTAGCACCCAAGATTTCTGGATAACTAACTATTCACTGATCCCAAAGCCACATTTGTTCTGCCATTTAAAGGTAAACGTGGGCATGGATTAGAACTTGGTAATATAACAGTTGCCAGCATGTGTCAAGTCACAGGTTTCATCCCAAGCACCACAAAGGAAAAACAAACAACAACAACAAAAAAAAAAAACAAAAAAAATCAGAGTGATAGCATGTATCCTGTTCCTTGTTTAGAAATTATAGAGTTTGTTGGTTATATTTGAGTTCTCTCTCTTCTAGGTCATCCATGCCTGGCTTATTGTTTCATCTCTGTTGTTGCTGTTCTTTTTTTCATTCATTTACTTGGGGTAAGTAATACAGTTTCCTGACCTCTTTATTTACTGTGGCATCCATCACTACCCTTAGATGAATTATTTTTTTAAGTAATCATTTTCCAGATACTATGCCTTAACCGGAATATAAAAGGTGAGTTGGTATTGCTAGGTGTAGTCTCTCTCTCTTTTTACCTTATTTGTATGTACATGAGAGCAAGCACCCATATGAAGGCCAGAGGACAACTTTTAGGAGTCCATTTTCTTCCACCCTGGGTTCTGTGAATCAAACTCAGGGAGTTGGGCTTGCCTTTACCCACTGAGCTTGGTGTAGGAAGTCCTTCTGTTTGTGTTGCTTTCATTGGTTGAATAAAGAAACTGTCTTGGCCTTTTGATAGGGCAGCACTTAGGTAGGTGGAGTAGACAGAACTGAATGCTGGGAAAAAGGTCAGAGAGAGAACTGCCATGGAGCTGCCAGGTCAGACATGCTAAATCTTTACCAGTAAGCCGAGGTGACATACAGATTATTAGAAATGGGTTGAATCAAGATGTGAGAGTTGGCCAATAATAGGCTAGAGCTAATGGGCCAGGCAATGTTTAAATGAATACAGTTTCTTTGTGATTATTTCGGGTGTAAACTAACTGGGTGGGAGACCAAAAGCAGGCCCTCTCTCCTCACTATGCTGAGCCATCTTGCTGGCCAGGTAGAGAGGTGGGTACCTCGTGCCACAGTATATATGTGGTAGTCAGAGGGCAACTTGGAGGTGTCAGTTCTCTCCTTCTACTGATTAGGTCCTGGGGATAGAACTCGCATCATCAGATTTCACAAGCACCCATGCCTGCTGAGTTATCTCAGCAGCCCTTTAGTGGGGATTTTCTTGTTCTTTGTTTGCAATAAGTAGATGTGTAAGGATTCACAGCTGGGGCTGGAAAGGTGTCTCATTGGTTAATAGCACTGACTATTCTGCAGAGGACCTGAGTTTGGTTCCCAGCATCCCCATGGTGGCTTACAGCCATCTGTAATGCAGTTCCTGGGAATCCCCCATCCTCTTCCAACTTCTTCAGGCACCAATCAGATCCACATACCAATACACATACATATATTCAGACAAAACACTCATACACATAAATTTTTTTTTAAAAAATTAAAGAATAAAACCCTGTCAGAACTGTGTGTAATAGACTGTCATTTGTATCTAATAAGAATATGTGTATTTGGGCTGGGGAGGTAGCTCAGTTGGTAGAAAGCCATGAATTCCTTTTCCACCACCACATAAGCCTGGTATGCAAGCAGCAGAATCAGTAGTTCTAGGTCATCCCCCATTACCGATTGAGGGCAAGCCCATCTTCAACCCTGCGTGAAAATAAAGTGTGCATTAGGTAGACTCTGGAAGGATATCATAAAGCTAATACAGCAGTGTTTTTCCTAGAGAACAGAACTGTGGGACGGGAAGGGAGACCTGTTGTCCATCTTGTGTTATCTTACGCATATATCCCTAAGAGTTGAGATTAGTTTGATTTTTCTATTTTTGAAATTAGTATAATACACATTGCAACCTCATTCAGAAATATCAACATTTTACTTTATTTTAGAATTTCAAAATAGGAAAAAAATCATCTTCTGGATTGTCCCCTTGGCCCACAGTTTGTGCTTAAATATATTCTTTCTCTATAGCTACTTAGGATATCTCCTGTAGTTGTGATCTCTTTAGATGATAGATTTTATTCTCCAGAAGTAAAATGGTAATTTTCTTCATCTGAAAAAGTTAAGCATGGTCCAGGGAGTTGGTTCATGTGGCACTGTGTGCTGGTCAAGTATGAGAACCTGGGTTTGGATACCCAGAACCCACGTAGGAGTCAGGTATAGTGACAAGCTCCTATAACCACAGCAGTGGGAGACGGAAATGGACAGATCCCAGGGACTTGCAGGCCAATCAAGCTAGCCAAACAGCAGCAGCAAGTTGTGTGAGAGGTGGTGTCTCAAAAAATAAGGTGGATGTCAAATTCATGCCTCTGTATATACCCTTGTAGGCGAGCTTACCCACATACACCACACAGAGTAAGCATTCTTTTCCTTAAGGGGATAGGAATATAAATCGGTGGTGGAGCCCATGCTTAGTATGCATGAGACCTTACTTTTTTTTTTCCCAGTACTGCACAGACACTCTATTATATTTTTTATTAATTCTTCATTTATTTACATACCACAGTTTCCCCTCCCTCCTCTCCGCCTGTTCCCTCCCCCCACTTCCCTTCTAACATCCCCCCATTCACTCCTCCTCTGACTCCATTCAGAAAGGGACAGGCCTCTCAAGGGAGTCAGCAAAGCATAATACATCAAATTGAAGCATCAAATTGGGTGAGGCAACCGAGCATGAGGAATGGGTTCCCAAAAGTCAATTCAGAAAGTGGGACAGGTCCAGACCCCACTACTGGGAGCCCCACAAACAGATCAAGTCACACAGCTGTCACACACATGCAGAGGGCCTAGGTTGGTCCCATGCAGGCTTCCTAGGTGTTGGTCCCGTGTTGGCGAGCTCCCGCGAGCTCAGGCCACCTCACACAGACACTCTAAATAAAAGGCATTTTATAAGAATAAAGGTAACCTAGGTGGTGACACATGCCTTTAATCCTAGCATTTGAGAGGCAGAGACAGTCTGGGAGTTTGAGGCCACCCTGGTCTACAAAGTGAGTTCCAGGACAGCCAGAGCTACACAGTGAAATCCTGTCTCGAAAAACCAGGATGAATGAGTGAGTGAGTGAGTAAGTGAGGGAGTGAGTGAAAAAGGTAAGTCCAGTCGTCCTTCTAGAGGTTAATGGATAAATCTCCAGCTCTGTTCTCTTTTCGTTTGCTGGGATTAAAGGCATGTGCCACCCCACCTGGGTTCCAGCTGTATTCTTGGGACACTTTTCTCATCAGTGGGATTGGAGTTTGTTTCTTTGTTTCTGTAGCAACAGTGTATCAAACTATATTCTTTGCATGTGTGTTTGTATAAAAATTATGTTTTGAAATGGATACCTTAAGTTTCATTATGAAAATATATTTCTTCTATAAATCTGATTGGTCCTTTTTTTAGTTTCAGATACTTTAGGATTTCATAAAATATGGTATTATAGGCAATATAATTTAATTCTTCTTAGTTTTTGCTCTTATTTTACAGGTGTGACCTGTATTAATGAAATTCATTCATTAATGTGAATGATGTTATACCTGTTAAAATAAGTTCTGCTTGAGGAAAGTGTGATTTAAAAAAGATATTACATAAATAACAGTACAGCATGGGCCATAGTAGAAACATAAAAATTTGAATTTGAGAGTTAACGTTTCAGAATCTTAGTTCTAAACTATGTAACATGAGAATTATTACACATAAGTCACCTTAAATCCTTGTTTATTTTTCCAGGGAAGTCTTTAAGACCTACAATGTTGCTGTGGACTATGTTACAGTTGCACTACTCATCTGGAATTTTGGTGTGGTGGGGATGATTGCCATCCACTGGAAAGGCCCACTTCGACTGCAGCAGGCCTATCTCATTATGATCAGTGCCCTGATGGCCCTGGTATTTATCAAGTACCTCCCTGAGTGGACCGCATGGCTCATCTTGGCTGTGATTTCAGTATATGGTAAAACTCAAGACTGACACTTTGTTCATCACAGAAATCCTTGCTGGTGTGTTTTCCTTCCTCTTCTAGTTCTCTTGATTTAAGGAAAATCTTAACAGTTATTTCCCATAGCTCATTAGTGTTCTTTTCTTTTAAAGTGCTGAGGGTTTTATCTGGAACTAGTTGGTGCTAGGCAAGTGCTGTGCCATGAGCCCCATCTCCAAACCTGAGAGTAAGGACTTGAAGTTTTGACTAGGTGTGTGCCGAATTGATGGGAGGAACCATAGGTCTCTGGTCAGAAGATTTAGAGTCAGTTCTTTCTCTTAGCATGTGTTAGGCCCTGGCTTTAGTCCCCAGACCACAGTAAGCAAAAAAGCAAAATAACATCTATGATCAGTAGTTTTATTGAGCTTTGATTTCCTTGTAAGTTGCGAACAAGTGTGCAGGATTGTAAGAGTTTAGTGAATTGAATAAATACTGAGAAGTGCTAGCAGCTGCCTGACGCATGTAGAATGTTGAGTTTATTCTTTAAGAATTATTAGATAATTTTTTATATAAAGGCATGTGTTGTGGCATGAGTATAGAGGTCCGAGAACTACCTCTGGAGTCAGTGCTCTCCTTCCTTCAGGCCGGTCCTGGGGGCTGAATGGGCTTAGACTGTCAGGCTTGGTGGCAGGTGCCTCAGCTGACCTATCTCTCTACCCCCAACTCGTTTTTTTCTTTGACTTTTTTTTAATGTCTGTGAGTGTTTGCCTGTATAGCTATGCATGACACACAGGCCTTGTGCCTGCAGAGGCTAGAAGAGGATGTCATATACTCTAGAACTGAATTTACATCCAGTTGTGAGCTGCCTTGTGGGTCCTGAGAATTGAACCCAGGTTCTCTAGAAGAGCAACCAGTGCTCTTAACCTCTGAGCTACCTTTAATCCCTTCCTCAATTAATCTTTTTTAAAAAATAACTTCTTTTATTTTGATTTTATATGTATTGGTATTTTGCCTGCATATATGTCTGAGTTGAGGGTGTTGGGTCTTCTAGAACTATGTTACAGACAGTTGTGAGCTGCCATATAGGTTCTGGGAATTGAACCCAGGTCCTCTGGGGGAGCAGTTCTTGCTCTTAACCACTCAGCCATTTCTCCAGCCCCTCTTCAATGCATTTGTAAGGTCAAAATCATACAGCAACTTCAGTGGAATCACCCCCTTAAAGATGAAATTTTTACTGATGTGGTGTGTACACCTGTGATCTCAACACTTGATCGGTAGAGGCAGGAGGACCAGTGGTTTCAAGGTTATCCATAGCTAATATAATAAGTTTGAGACCAACCTGAGCCACTTTAAAACCTTTTTCAAAAAAAAAAAAAATCTGAGAATGAGGTTTACATTTGTAAAACAAGCCCACTGCCTGTTTGTTTATTGTATTTGAAGTTAAATCTACAGAAAGACCTGTGGGTAGAGCCCATAACTTGAGGGGTCCCAACCTGGCGCAGATTGACTTCATCAGCCTGGATCAAATTTCAGGGAGTCTAATGCCAGGCGGTTCATCGTCGGCTTTATTTAAAACACAGTACAATTTGGGGAAAGGTTTCCAGGCAACAATCAGTCCAATTCCAGGTTCACAATAAAGCTTAATGTGTACCAACAAAGACCATGTGACCGTGAGGGTGGGTTCTATAGCTAAAAGGCCTAGAATCTAGTGTGATCTCTGACCATAGCATAAAAGTCAGCAGACCATAAAGTACTTGCAACATCTCCCCTAAGAATGAGTAATGGCTTAGGAAGGGAAAAGTCTGGAATAACCATTCTGGGGAATTGGGGTGAGGTCTGTCTCCACAGATAAAGGTCACCAGGTCATTAACAGAATCCATTCTCAGCTTTCTGGATGGAATCTAGATACTTGATTTGTATCTCCTCCAGTGAGGAGACACCCTGTGTGATTAACATTCCTTCTTCTCTTAGTGCTTCTCTGTGAGTACAAGGACCTCTGTGCCTCCAATAATAACTGGTATAAAAGTTCTCAATAAGAACCTATCATTTTACAGCCAGGCATGGTGGCGCGGGAGGCAGAGGCAGGCAGATCTCTGAATTTGAGACCAGCCTGGTCTACAGAGAGAGTTCCAGCACAGCCGGGGCTACACAGAGAAATCCTGTCATGAAAAACAAACTAAAACAAGCAAAAACCTCTATCAGTTCAATAATAAAAGCAAACCTTGGGACTGGAGAGATAGGTCAGTAGTTAAGAGTGCATACCACTCCTGTAGAAGACCAGAACTCAGTTCACAGCACCCACATACATACACATAATTTAAATTTTAAAAATTGTAAACATGCTTTTGGACAAGTAAAGATTCTAATTCTTTAACAACTGCTGTGACATGGGTCCTGAAAATGTCACAATACTCTAGTCATGAGTAACGGGGACTGGCTTTATTCTGCAGCTCTTGCCCCACATGAAAGCCAAAAAGAGCTCCCTTCTCAGAGACTACTCAGTGCTCACCATTCTAAAGAGCATGGACATATGTGGTGACCTGTAGCCGGGATCTGTCGTCCCCCTTGAATTGATGGAGAAAAGCCTTTGAGAATAGAGCAGCTAGTCGGGGTTAGAGAAGTCCTTTACTCTGTGCCCCACTCTTATGGAAACTCATCTTAGTGATGCTTTGTAAATCTACCATCTGTCTACTCATTGCTAAGCAGCTTGAAGGTTACAGAGGTGAAATATTTGCCTAATCTCATGTGACTTGACCTAAAATCTGAATTCTAAGCCTGTCTTATTCTCTCCGTGACCCTCAGCCCCCTGCTCATAGCACAGGTGAGACCTCCTCAGAGCTTTGGGTCTTCGGAATGTGGAAGAGCTGTGCCCGGTGTTAGATACTGACTCTCAACTCCATTTCTTACAAAGCATCAAGATGTTTTGTCAGAAGTGTTCTGAAAACTTTTAAGTAAATTAATCTTCATTCATTTCAGTTGCCCTAAAAATAACTGAATCTATTTATTTCAAAATTCTATAAGGGAAACATGTAATAAAACCAGAATAGTTGCAGGATGTGGCCCCTTTAGCCACATTAGCTGCCAGCGCCGGAAATCCGCTTTCCTCACCTGGACTAGAGGAGAGCGCTGTGCTGTGTTCTCGCCTGCAGATGCATGGCCACTGCAGGCCTCGCAGTGGCATGAGTCAGCTGTCAGGCCTTCCTTTGCAATTTTAGTGTGCCTGTTTGATATTTTTAGATGTTTGAGGTTATTTTCTGAATTTCTAGAACAGAAAATACAAGAAAAATTATAGTTTATGGAAGAAAATGGTGTCACATCAGACACAATTTAGGCATATTGCCTCCTCTTTGAGCTGCTATTTTTGTGAAATAGGTCAGTGTTTAGCTCCACATATGTTCTGAGACCTAAATATTTATGAAGTTCTTTTTTGACTGGAAACTGAAAAAATATTAAACTTTGTCATACAAAATTATTTTATTTAAATGTGTTGCCCTGTTGTTGCAAGTTCCTTAATTAAGTGTGCTTGCTTTGAGATGCTGGGGACCAAGTTCAGGCTCACATGCTGGACAAGTGCACCCCAGAGCACACCCCCATTCCGCGCTGTTAATCTGTAGGTGGAATTATCTGGAAATGATTCCCTTCCACTCTGCGGTCACAGATTGAGAACCACTCTAGAATCGTTCTCTCTTGCTGCTGCCGCGTCTCCTTCCAGCCAAGAGTCGAGTCTAGACCCCAGTAATCATACACTGGAGACTGGGCACACGGCAGGAAGGCCAGAGTGTAATTTGCACAGGTCTTCTGTTTTATTTTGTTTAGGTTGCTCTTTTTCTCACTTAACTTGAAGTATTTCCATGTTTTCCCAGCACTCCTTTGTCAGATACATTAACCTGTCCCTCAGTTAAGTCCTCCCCAGCATGTACTCATTTACACATTTCAGTATATTTTATTGGGTGTCTTTATTTCTTTCTTTCTAGATTTGGTGGCTGTTTTATGCCCCAAAGGTCCACTTCGTATGCTGGTTGAAACAGCTCAGGAAAGAAATGAAACTCTCTTTCCAGCTCTTATCTATTCCTGTAAGTATGCCGGAGTGATACTGTGTTAGTGCATTCAGTTTTAAGGTGCCCTCTGAGGTCAGAAGTCAGAAGAGAGCATTGGATTCCTGGAACTAGATTTACAGATGGTTCTGAGCCACTGTGTGGGTGCTGGGAATCAAACATGGGTCCTTTGCAAGAGCAGTCAGTGCATCTGTGGCTCTAAGTACTGAGCCATATCTCCAGCTCCAGTGCATTCAGTTCATTCGTTCCTTCCTTCCCTCCCTCTTTCTTTCTTTCTTTCTTTCTTTCTTTCTTTCTTTCTTTCTTTCTTTCTCCCTTTCTCCCTTTCTCCTTTTTTTTTTTTTGTTTTTGTTTTTTTTTTGTTGTTGTTGTTGTTTTGTTTTGTTTTTTCAAGACAGGGTTTCTCTGTATAGCCTTGGAGCCTGTCCTGGATCTCGCTCTGTAGACCAGGTTATATTTGTTCCTTCACCTACAGTCTTTTACCATGTTTTAACCCTCAGTTACTCCTAATTGTTTAACATTTGAGGTGACATCACAGACCAGTGGCTGCAGCCGTAGAGAAGTCATGGCCTTTTGCTTGCTAGCGCAGTGTCCTAGGCTGTAAGAACTCACCAGAAACTTTGTCTTTCTCAACAGCAACAATGGTGTGGCTGGTGAATATGGCTGAAGGAGACCCAGAAGCCCAAAGAAGGGTACCCAAAAACCCCAAGTATAACACACAAAGTAGGTGACACTCATTGGTAACTGTCCTAGTTTTACAGGCTCATTGTCATTTGTAGATAAATAGTTGAGGTTATGAAGCAGTGACTTAAACCTTCTCTTTGGTCATACACTCCTTACTGGAGCTCAGGACCAGAGCACTTTCTTGCCATTTGAGAAGCCCTGGGCGTAGAGGATGTGTGACAATGACAGACGTCACAGAATCTCCTAGAAAAACTGGCCACCCCGGTAAATGCACATAGAACTATTTTTTTTATTTTTATTTTTTATTTATTATTTATTAAGCATACAATGTAATGCTGGCATGGAAGGCACCAGGTCTAATTACAGATGATTGTGAGCCACCATGTGGTTGCTGGGAATTGAACTCAGGACCTCTAGAAGAGCAGTCAGTGCTCTTAACCGCTGAGCCATCTCTCCAGCCCCACATAGAACTATTTAAGGAGCTGAAATATTTGCCAAGCCACCAGTCCACCCTGGACTAAGATGCTGTCGTTAATGTGTATATTTTAAAAACAAAGCTCTCTCTTTCTCACCCACCCTCTAAATAGGTAAAAATGAGAACCTTAACCAATTGTAGTCAGAACATCTGTAATCTCAGCCTGGAAGTAGAGGCAAGAAGATTGTTAGTTCAGCCTTTGACTGTGTAGTGAGAGCCTATCAGCAAAAGAGGGAATGGGGTCGGTGACTCTTCTCCAGCATGTCCAGGGTAACGGAATGTCTGTTGAGAGGTGTGGTGATGCTCACATTAAGAAGGTTAAGTACCTCAGTGGATGGATAATAGTGATGAGCAAGGACTGGTTTCTACAGAAGACAGTAAGGAAAATCAATTAGAAGGTGTGTCACAAAGAATTGAAGAACAGGGACTGGAGAGATGGCTCAGCAGTTAAGAGCACTGACTGCTCTTGCAAAGGATACGGGTTAAATTCCCAGCACCCAAATAGCAGCTCACAACTGTCTGTAACTCCAAAATCTGAAACCCCCACACAGACATACAGGCAGGTAAAACACCAATGCAAATAAAATAAAAATAAATAAATATTTTTTAAAAGAATTGAATAGTGTGGTGTGAAAGTAAAACAAAGAAAATTTCTTAAAAAGACAAAGGAAAGACTATCCTTTGGAAGTTGGAAAAAAAAAGGAAAAAATAGTTAAGAGAAGAACAGTGGGACCTGCAGAGATCAGCAGAGGGCGTCAGATCCCATGGTTGTGAGCCACCATGTGAGTGCTGAGAGCCAAACCCAGGTCCTTTGGAAGAGCCATCTCTCCAGCCCCAAGTCTGGGTGGCATATTGAGCTAAAGAAAAAAAGTTGTGACTGTATATATTAGGGTTTCTATTACTGTGAAGAAACCCCATGACCAAAGAAACTTGGGAGGAAAGGGTTTATCCAGCTTCCATTTCCACAGCATTGAAGGAAGTCAGGACAGAAACTCAAACAGGGCAGGAACCTGGAGACAGGAGCTGATGCAGAGGCCGTGGAGGAGAGCTGCATGGCTGGCTCAGCCTGATTTCTTACACAACCCAGAACCACCTGCCCAGAGATGGCACCACCCACATGAGCCAGGCCCTCGTGAATCAATCACTAATTAAGAAGATGCTCAACAAGCTTGCCCACAGCCTGATCTTATGGAGGCGGTTTCTTCAGCTGAGTTTCCCTCCTCTCTGATGACTCTAACTGTGGCAGGTTGACATGGACCCATCCAGCATACATATATTATATGAGTGTGACTGTATTTTTGGTATATTGAGATTTTATTCTTTCAGCAAATGGTGACTTAATACGAGGTGTATGCCCAGTGCTGTCTTAAGCTTTGAGGGTAGAGTACTGGACAGTACATTCCTTGGTGGTGTTCACTGTGGTGATACTTTGTGTTTTAATAAATGAAGGGGCTGGAGAGATGGCTCAGTGGTTAAGAGCATTGCCTGCTCTTCCAAAGGTCCTGAGTTCAATTTCCAGCAACCACATGGTGGCTCAGAACCATCTGTAATGAGGTCTGGTGCCTTCTGGCCTGCAGGCATACATGTAGACAGAATATTGTATACATAATAAATAAATATTTTTTTAAAAAAAATGAAGCTTGCCTGAAGATCAGAGTGCAGAAGTAAGTTACTAGAGGCCCGGGAGTGGTGGCACACACCTTTAATCCCAGGACTTGAGAGACAGAGGCAGAGGGATCCTGTGAGTTCAAGGTTATACAAGATTGAGTCTGTCTAAAATGAAACAGAGCTCACACAAAGGTCATCCCAGCACTGGGATCACACGCCTTTAATCCCACCAATAGGGAGGTGGAGAGAGGAATATCAGGCAGGAGGAAACAGGAGCTCAGTGCAGTCTGAGATTTGGTGAACACATTTGTAGTCTGAGGATCACCCCTGAGGTCTGAGGATGCAGTCTGAGGAGACAGTTGGAGGACAGGGTCACCTTTTTGGTCTGAGCATCGGTAGAGGTAAAAGAGCTCTCTAGTGGCTGCCTCTCTGCTCTTAAACATTAACCCCTGTATCTGACTCACGGCTTTTATTTTTAAGACCAGCTAAAGTTTGTGCTGCAGTTCACAGGAGCGCAGGTTCTTTACCATTTCCTCTCCACGACCTTTGACATCTCCTTGTGGTCATGACAGTTGCAGTGCTGGGCATTATATCCAGACCACATGCAGGGGAGATGGAAGCCATTCCTTCCTTTCTTAAAAAGGGGAAAGAAAGGAAAGAAAGGGGAAATGTCAACACTCAGTGCCAAGTCAAAGTTCTTCAGCTGTAGAGCTTTAATTGGCTGTGCTTTCCTGAACCAGGATTCTGCATTCTAGAGTATGAAAGAAATGGCTCTAAGTATTAGAACTCTAATTGCTGCCTTCTCTCTTAAAGGAGCAGAAAGTGAGACACAGGACACTAGTACTGGTACCGATGATGGTGGCTTCAGTGAGGAATGGGAAGCCCAAAGGGACAGTCACCTGGGGCCTCACCGTTCGACTCCTGAGTCAAGAGCTGCTGTCCAGGAACTTTCCGGCAGTGTCCTAACTAGTGAAGACCCGGAGGAAAGTACGTGTGTCGTGTCTGACTGCAGTCTTGGCTTACTTTGAGTGTATTACCCGTCTCTTGAGAGTGCTTTGAATTGTTCAGGGGAATAGCTTATTCTGTATTTGCCACACAAGCATGAGGACCCGAGTTTGATCTCCAACACTCATATTTTAAGAAAAAGAAAAAAAAGATCAGCACAGCTTTAGTGATCCCAGCACTGGGGAGGGAGAGACAGGAGGGTCCTGGGGTTTGCAAACTCAGGGCCAGTGGGAGACCCTGTCTCCAAACTACGATGCTGAACAACTGAAGAAGACACCAGGTATCAGCCTTTGGCCTCTAAACCTGTCAGTTGCATACAAGGTCATGTCGGGATTCTGTGGTACAGGTTCTCACTGTGAGCTAGGCTTTATGTAAAAGTCAGGAGATGTTAATTTGGTTTCTGTGGTTGTTAAGATGGGACAGCAGCCTCAGTTGGGACTCCTAAAATTCCTGGTGTAAAAAAAAAAAATGAAAGATAAAGAAAACAATCTTTCTGAAGCCTGAATTGTGACTATTGTTTACTGATAGTAAGGGACTATGTGGGGTTTTTTTGTTTGTTTTTTTAAAGATTTATTTATTTATTACATATACAGTGTTCTGCTTGCATGTACAGCTGAAGGCCAGAAGAGGGCACCAGACCTCATTACAGTTGGTTGTGAGCCACCATGTGGTTGCTGGGAATTGAACTCAGAACCTCTGGAAGAGCAGTCAGTGCTCTTAACCTCTGAGCCATCTCTCCAGCCCCCGGGACTATGTGTTTGATTGATTCATTTGGCTTTGGTTTTTGAGATAAAGTCTCACTGTATGAGGCAGACCTCAAACTCCTGGTCTTAAGCTGTCCTCCTATTCAGCCTCCTAAGTGGCTCAGAATGTAGATGCATGTCACCACGCCTGGCTTGGGGTCATAAATTTGAATTATGAGATCACAGCAGTTAGGTGTGGTGGCACGCACTTGTAGTCCTAGGGCTTGAGTGGCAGAGGCAGTAGGTTTACAAATTCAAGGCCAACCGGGGCTATATAACAACACCATCTGGGGGAAAAAAGCATAGGAAAGAATGACAAACTTTCTTACATCTTTAATCTTTCTTTTTTTAGGGGGAGTAAAGCTTGGATTGGGAGATTTCATTTTCTACAGTGTTCTGGTTGGTAAAGCCTCAGCCACGGCCAGCGGAGACTGGAACACAACCATAGCCTGCTTTGTGGCCATACTAATCGTAAGTGTGCCCTGGCAAAGATAGGTCAGACACTGAATTCCCTGTAACTTTAGGATAAATTTTTTTCACGTGTGTTCATGCACATATACTGTGGAAAATGTGTAACAGAACAACTTTTGGGGAGCTGGATCTTTCCTTCCCCTGGGGCAGGGCCACTGCAGTTTTTGCCCCCCATCTGCCCTCCTGTCTTAACTTCCCATCCCCCCAAAGGAGTGCTGGGACCACAGGTGAGTGCCCGCTACATCCCACTCTTTACATGCGCTCCTGGGATCGAACTCAGCTTGTCAAGCTTACGTGGCAGTGCTTTTACCTGCTGAGCCATCTCCCTGGCCCTAACAATTTCCTTTGGATTCCAGATAGGCTGAGAATTCCAATCCCTTGAGAAGCTTTTAAAAATGGATAATTAGACCCTACCTGAGTAGTTCTTCACTCTGGACACACATTAAAATCGCCTGCTGTTTCTGGCCTAGCTGTGTCCTGTCTGCGAAGAAGCATATTGCTGAGTCTCCTAAGCTGCAGCATCGTGCACGTGCTCCTTCCACACTTGCTTTGCCATCAGTCCTGTGCTCACCTCTGTCCCATCCAGAGATAGAATGGCTACCTTGTTTTGAGTAGTTCTTAGAAATTCTCCTGGAAATTATACCTCTTAGACGGTATGTTGAGAGCCTGGCAGCGTAGGTGGGAGTCAGCAAGGATTCCCAGTCCATGCGCTGAGCCAGCACCCAGTGCTCTTACACTGACACTCATCCGCCAGGATTTCTTTGGGACGGCAGGTGTGGAGCGAGAAAGGCTGGCCCAGTACAGGATCCCATCTTGTTTATAGTACTTCTGGCTTTCAGAATTTAGAAAACTGGGTGTGTTGGTATACACCTTTAACCCTGGTATTCTGGAAGCAAAGTCAGGTGACTCTCTGCCTGGTTAAATTCTAGGCCATATATAGTAAGATCCTATCTTCTTGGTTTTGTTTTTTTCGAGACCAGATTTTTCTGTAGTTTTGGAGCTTGATTTGAGGCCAGCCTAGGCTGTATGTGATGGTCTTTAAAAAAAATTCTATTTAATTCAGGCATTGTGCACACTTAGTTCCTAGTACTTAGGAGGCTGAAGCAGGAAAATGAAGAATTTGAGGCCAATCTGGGCTGTATATATAAATAAACAAAAAAGCAGCAACTGTCTTTTCAGGGAGGGTCACTCTCAGCATGCACAAGACCCTGGCATCGCCAATACAGATGTGTCTTCCCTTTCCTCCCCTCCCATGGCCTCTGTCCTCCCTTTCTCTGGAACCAGCTCTCACTGTGCTGCCCAAGCTGGGCTCCAGCCTCGGCCTCCTGCGTAGCTGGCATGTGCCATAAGGTTCCATTCCAGAAGCTATGTTTTTCTTTCCTGACTTTAGATTTCATGAGAGTTTTGTTGTAGAAGTTAGGACTGAAGAGAGTGTTCACTGCATGTGGTACTGAACAGTCCTGAGTGTGCATCCCTCCATCCCCACAGGGCCTGTGCCTTACCTTACTACTGCTCGCCATCTTCAAGAAGGCGTTGCCAGCTCTTCCCATCTCCATCACCTTTGGGCTGGTTTTCTACTTTGCCACGGATTATCTCGTGCAGCCCTTTATGGACCAGCTTGCATTCCATCAATTTTATATCTAGCGTATCTGCAGTTAGAATCCATGGATGTTTCTTCTTTGATTATTAAATACCTGAGGAGGACATATGTGACTCTCCCATGTCCTCATCTAACGAAGTCAAAACTCTAGCTGGACTTTTGCAACTTCCTTCCAAGTTCCCTGGCCACCTGCATTGTTGAACTTTGGAAGGAGGTGTCTACAGAAAACGGCTTCCAGCATTCATCACTGCAGTGGGCAGATATCCCTCAGTGCAAATACCACCAAATTTGAGGGACAAGGACAAGAAGATGTGCTGGACCAAGAAGTTGTGTTCTGCCAGTAGTGTGACCCTTGGGCACGAAGATTTTGCCAGCACTGGGAACCCTCAAGAGGCTAAATGAAGTGGTGTGAACCAAACAGAACTTCCATCTTCTCCACCATGTTGGAAATAAAATCTGTATTAGCTGAATCCTGTACTGTCCAGAGGTTCTGTGAGGAGGGAACACTGGCCTGGGCCTCGCTCTTAGGCTCTTTTGCTGCCCACTTGTAAGTTTACATAAGGGCACCACCCCCCACAAACTCCCACTCCTGTCACATCCGTGGTGTTGACCATTTTTGTTCTCAAGCACTGACTCACTATCATCTGTGGTTGCCGCTTCTTCCCAAGGCCAGTCTGGACGCATTTGGGGTTGCTTTATTCTGAGAGTCCATAACCTCAGGTTCTAAAGTTTATAATTTATGGAAGTGATGGAATTATTGCTTGACAGTACCCTGTCTTCCTTAAGTAAGTTCTGGATTTTCCACAGCCTCATTGTTAGACATACTTGCGAGGTACTTCACCCCTGATGCTTCTCTCTCTGTCCCTCCCTTGTCCCCACAGCAGTTCTATTTGACATCAGACAGGGCAGCTCTGGGAGGTAGCAAATGACCCTGATAACCCAAGGTCCTAACCTCACATAAGTCAGTGCTGCAGCCTGGCTGTCGTCTGACCCCCTCGGAGGCAGACAGGATCAAAGCGCAGGCTGGCTGGTGAAGCGCTCTGGCCTGGTGTTTCTTCTGTCACGGCAACCCTCTGTCAGGGTCAGAGTTAAACTAGGACTGGGGTAGAACTCAGTGGTAGAATCTTTGTCTAGCAAGACCCGGGTTCAGTCCCCAGCATTGGAAAAGAAAATAAAACTACAGAATTTGAATTAATGTCCAATGCCCGTAGTTTCTCAGTTCATGAACCAATTGTGTCTAACAACACAAGAGTTTGACAGAAAGCTGGTTCTTAGTTAGCTGTGGAGAAACTGGAGTCTACCAAGGGCAGGGGCCTCCCACAGCCGTGGGCAGTGTGCTCACTACACAGGCGGGTGTGAATGGCAAGGCTGTGCTACGGAGGTCACAGGTGAGCTCAGGTGCTATGGGTCAGTTTGGCAGCATGCACAGACTGAGGAGTCCCATGAGTATGTGACAGCGGCCTCAGCCAGGAGATCGGCCGGGCAATGTGAAAAACTTTGATGTGGATCAAGAAATGCTTGCTAGCTCTATCCCAGACTAGCCTGTGAGCCAGTTTGGGCTTCTCTTTATTCATTTTGGGTCACAGTAGTGTGTGTGTATGCGTGTGTGTATGTGCACATGCGTGCATGTGGGAGGGGGCACAGTTGATCGCACCTGGGGTTTGGGGCATGCTAGCAAGTGCTCCACTAATGGGCTAACTCAGCCTGGGGTAATTCTAGTAAGAATTTGACTTTAGGAGTCAGGCCTAATCCCTCACTGGTAAGGTGGAGACAGGTGGATCTCTGGGCTTGCTGACCAGCTAGCCTAGCCTCATCGAGGTCTAGGCCAGTGAAAGGCCCTGTGTCAAAAAGCAAGGTGGATGGCTCCTGAGGAACAATACCCATACAAATGCACACCCATAAGAAGAGCTGAGGGTGTAGCCTTTTGGTAAAGCACAGGGCGCTCAGCATCCTTGGGGCCCTGGGTTCAGGCTCATCTTAGCCAATGAGAAGAAAACTAAGAACCACACAAGGAAGAGAGGGACTTGGGTAGAAGGTATTGTTTTATTATTGTGTGCACATACCCCAACCCATACGTGGAGGTCAGAGTCAGCCCTGTGCTATCTCAGATCTCTCTACATCCACATGGGTGCTGAGGCTCAGACTCGGGCCACCAGGTGCTGCCCAGCCATCTCACTGCCCCCCTTTGCCCTCACTCGGACAGCAGAATGGAAGTCACAGCCTTTTGATTCAAGGCACTTTTGTGGCTCTCAGCCAGAGCAGCTTGTGTAAGGGTCCAAGTGTTTCGTTGTCTTTCATGGACAAGAGGGTCCATCCAGGCTGTGCTTGTGTTGGGTGTTTAAGTCCAGGAGAGGAGTGGCTGCAAGCCGCACCTGGGATAAAGTCACTGGATCCAACCTGCTTAGTGGAAAAGTGGTGGGGAGAGAAAGAAGCAGTAGCTTTGGGGCTCAGGTCCGATGCCTGCAGGATACAGCGTTTCTGGGCAGGGTGCCAGCTGCAGTTGGCCGGAGAGGAAGGACTCTTTCCTGTTTTTGATCCTGCTGTGCTAGAGGGGTCCTGGGGCCACAGCTTTTACTCTCAATGACTACATTTCTCCAAGAGGAAAAAAATGGAGCAAAGGACAACAGCCAAAAGCAGTCTGTCAGTTTCACCACAAAGGAGCAAAGTTTCATTTTTAAACTTTGCTTGAGAGTTTAGTGTCCTTTTACGATAGACGCCCAAGTGTTTGCTTCTTGTCCTGTCTGTGGTTTTAAGCCAATGTGTGCATGTGTGATAGGGTCTCCTGTGGAAGCACAGGTTGGACTCAAATTTATGATCCTTCTGCCTTCACCTTACAACTACTGGGATCACACAGACATGAGCTGAGTCATGTATGTATATAATATATACATTACATTTATTTGTGTGTAGGCGCGGAGCATGTGCTCATGAGGTCAAAGGATAAACAACAGCAGTTGCTTCTCTGCTCCCATCATGCAGGTTCCAGGAATTGAACTCGGATCCTCAGGCTTGGAGGCCTATGCTTTTTACCCACTGAGCCATCAAGGCCCTGTGTATGTTCTTGATTCTATTTGTTAAACTGGCAAACAAGGTCTTCCACAGTCAGACTTCTAAGGGCAGTAAGTCTCCGTCTCCGACCCCAAGAGCCAGGCTTTGCATTGGTGACCATTTGTGACCTCACCCTGGAAGAAAAGCTGAGACGCAGGCGTTGTTCAGTATCCTGTGTGCTTGGCATGGTACAGGAGTCAAGGCTGCAGAGATGAGCCAGAGCCTTGCTTGCCCTCTTCCCTTCCTGCCTTCATCCCTCCACTTCCCTTCCCTTTCTGAAAGAAAACCCCAGGCTATCCTCAGATTCATCATTTAGCTGAGGGTGTTCCTGAACTTAAGCCCTTCCAGTTCTCGCTCCGAAGAGCTGGGTTACCCACACGCACCACTGTGCCCAGTTTACTCGGAGCGGGGGATCGAACCTGAGCCGTGTGCGTGATAGGCAGGCACTCTACCAATTGAGTTACATCCCCAGATACCACACAACGTCTTTTGACTACTTTTGACCACTGAGGCTTACAAAGGGGGTGATGTCTATGAGGTGACGTCATTCCCTCAGAAATCCGCCCTTTCAGCAAGCCCCCTTGGATCCTTGATGCTCAGTTTGAGGATAGCTCAGGAACTGGATATCTGCTTCCACCCTCAGGATGGAAATAGGTGTCATATCTTGCGAAGTTAGAGTTCAAAAGCATTCCTGACGTCTTCTCGTGTCTTTAGACTATCCAAGCACAGGCAGTTTTTAAAAAGGAAAAAGGCACCGGTTTTTGTTCTTCCCAGCCCTCTTGGATAATGCCAGCTAGATACCCACAGGCTGCCACGTCTCAGGGTCTTCTGCACCTCATCAGTCTACACATCTGATAGGAAACCATAATTTGCATATTGCAAAGCCCATCTTGGTGCTGAAATGAACCCTTTCTTGAATGTCAAAGCCATTTCCAGGAGTGTGGGGTAGCAATGTACCTCTCTTGGGATGCAAGGGACCCCCTCTGACCCTGCCAGGTAGTGCTACAGCAGGAAGGGTTCCCTGGAAGCACTTCTGTTCAGATGCATACTTGTGGAAGGCTGATGCCGAGTGGCAAGTGCCAGGGTGAGCTTTTCCAGAGTGTTCTTTACTCTCACGTGGTCACTGCCTGGCTTCACCTACTATGGGTAATAATTTGTACATAGCAGACTGTGAATATAACTTTTTAAATAAATACTTTCAAACTCTTGGTAAGATATAATTTTGATAATGATTGCAGATTTTTTCCCTGTATTTGTCAAATGAATAAAGAATGCATGAGCCCAGTGGTGCTAGTTTTCTTCCAAGGAGCATTGGGATGCCGAAGCCTGTGCACTGGGTCATAGATGCCAAGACACCTTGGAGCTCACTGTTCTCTATCTGTAGCAAGGCATTATGGGTTGTAGCAGAACCACACCCTTAAAGGTGCAACATCCCATCTGTTTCTAACTGCTGTTCATGGTTCTGTATTACGGATCTGTGGTTCAGCAGCCACAGATAAGTAATTTGAAAAACAAAACAAAACATTGCATTTGTATCAAACACACAGAATACTCAACATCTCCTAAATGAAACCACACTTATTAGCAGTCTGTATTCTAAATAACTCAAAGCTGGGCATGATGCTTGCCTGTACACTCAGCACTTAGGAAGTTGAGCCAAGAGGATTGCTATGGGTTCAAAGTTTTGTTTGTCTTAAACAAAACAAACAAAAACACCTGGCAGTGGTGGTACACACCTTTAATCCCAGCACTTGGAAGACAGAAACAGGCAGATCTCTGTGAGTTTGAGACCTTCTTGGTCTACAGAGTGAGTTCCAGGACAGCCAGAGCTGCACAGAGAAACCTTGTCTCAAAAAGCCAAAATAACAACAACAGCAAAAAAAACAACAACAACAACCTAGAGATGATCCAAAGTTGTACAGGTGGATCTCTGAGTTCCAGGCCAGACTGGTCTACATAGCAAATTCCAGGCCAGCCAAGGCTATGCAGTGAGACTTGAGGAGCAGGGAGGGATTGCTCCATAGCCTCACTAGTGGAGAAATGCACTCCTGTTTTCATTAGGTGTGGCCCCTACCTCTCTCTGTCCTGAAATCGGAGACATCTCCTCTTCTGAGCTGTGAATAAATACATGACGGCTCAGCAGGTGGAGGTGCAAATCTGAAGACTGGAATTCGATCTCTGGGACCCACTTGGTAGAGAGAATGGACCCCTGCAGCCATACAGAGAATCTTACACCATTAGCTCGGGCAGGGAAAGCCACCGCGTGCCATTGTCCTTAGAAGGAGCAGCTCAGAGGTAGAGCCAGGTGTGGGGGTGCACACTATAATCCCAACACTTAGGAGACAGAGGCAGAAGAATTTAAATTTAAATCCAAGGCCACTCAGACTAGTAGGTAGCTAGAACCTGCCTCAAAAAACAAAAG